TATCATGGATGGAAATGATAATAGCTGAAGGGAAGAAGATGTCTAAGAAATAGAAACCCTGCTGCAATGCAGCATTTCAAGTTTGAATATAGGGGAAAAAGCAGGAAAGGAAATAGGTGGTCCTTCTAGTCAGAGTATGGTACCTGGAAATCAGTGCTTCCAGTGGCTTGAAAAGGAGGGTATTATTGATCATCTGTCTGTATCTGGTACTGCTGATAGATGAAGTAAATTCAGGAGAAAGAACTTATAACTGGATTTAGCTCTTTGTTGGTCTTGACAAGATTTGGAGGAGGAGGTGCTTTTATTTCTGGAAAGGCCCCCCCCCCTTTTTTTTTGAGCTGAAAAGTGAATGATAAGTATTTATTTCAACATTTTTATATCTGTATTTTGTTTATGAAGGGTGTTGTGATTTGAAGGTTTGGTTAAACTTACTGGTAAAAGCATCTGAGCCTTTTGGGGTTTTTTTACCCCCTTAATTACTGAATTGATTTATTTAATAATAATGGAATTACTTAGATTTTCTGTTTCTTTTTAGATAATTGTAGTTATCTGTATCTTTTTTTTTTTGCTTCCCTCCCCACTCCCCTCAGTTATCTATATCTTTGATGGTTTTTCACTTTTCTTAGTTTTAAATTTTATTGGCCTGAATAGTATACTTTCATACGAGTTTATTATATGCCTGCTATCTCAAGTATGTTTGTGTCTTCTATAATTGTATCCTCTCTTTCATTCATGTTTCTTTTTTTCTGGATTTGAAAAAAGTCCATTTGTCAGTTTTAACTGGCTTTTTGGTGAACTGCACTATTGTTTTTGTCTTATATCATCATGGTTTTCTGTTTCATTAATTTTTATTCTTAACCTTTACTAGTTCTTTTTAAACTTTCTTTTAGTTTCTTTTGTCCTTTTTCTAATTTCTTGAAATTGGATGTGCATCATACTAATTTTCAGTCTTTCATTTACCTTAATATTTAAACAGTTAAGGTTAAAATTTTCCCTCTTAGTATCACTTTAGCTCTACCTCCCAGATTCTGACATACGATGTCTTATTTTTCTTTCTGAGTATTTTCTTTTTGAGTTTGTGATTAGAAATTGTTTCTAGCTCTAATGCAGTGATTTTCTTGTTATAATTTTAGTATTGATTTCCACTTTGGAGTGTGGCAGAATATGCATATGTATGTATATATATTTATATTTATATGTAGTTTTTATGTTACCTCCTTTGAAGTTGTTCAGTCTTAATTTTTGTAGTGAGCTTTTGTAATTATTTCTCATTTGGTGGAAAGAATGAGTATTCTGCTAATGATACCTGCAGTGTTTTGTGTTTGTCCGTTAACTCAAGTTTTTTAAATATATTGTTAATACTTCTATATTTTCACTGATTCGTTGTCAGATTGATCCCTTGATTACTGAGGAATGTGTTATTGCATTTTCCCTCTAGTCATGTCAATTTTTACTTCATCTATTTTGAGAGTGTTATTAATTGTATGTAACATTCAGATTGTTTCGTCTTCTTGGTATACTCAACTTTTATTGTTGTATACTTCTCTCATTTGAAGATTTTTGCCTTAAAATCTGTTTAATTTTCCATTAATATAATTAGCAGTCCTTTAAAAGTACTGTTTTCCTGATTAACTTTTTTCATTCATTTCTTTCAAGTTTTTCATATCATTAAAATAAGTACAGCTGGTGTTATTTTTCTGTAGCCTTTAAAAATATTTGAAATACATTGACGTATATTGTATTTGCCATGTGTTTGAATTTGTTTTTTATTTGTCCTACTCTTTGCCATCCCTTTTCTGTCTTGCTTTTGTTAGATATTTTTATTTCATTTTTTTCCTTTCTATTGACTTGGAACTTATGCTTTCTTTCTTGTTTTAGTGGTTATTAGAATTTTTAAAATAAGTACTTATTTAAGTCTAGAATTGATGTCTTTATCTTGGTACCAAACAGTTTTTTAGCTAAATTCTAGTTTTTTAAACTCCTGAAGACATATTATGATGATTAATAATTAATTATTCTTTTTTTAAAAAGTTATCTCACATACGTCATTTTGCCTTGCATTTCACTCCTTTTTGCATTTCTAATCTTCCTTTTGGGATCACTTTCTTTCTGCTAGGACATTCTTTAAAACTTGATTTAGTTAGGCTTTTTAGTAGAGCACATAGTTTGTTTCCAAAAATATTATTTTGCTCTAAATCATGAAAGATATTTGCTGTATATAAAAATCAATATTGAAAAGTCTTAGCATATTCACTGTATAGTATCATTGTCTTCTAATGTGAATCTGATCTTAGTTGTTTTGATGGTAATCATTCTTTCTTGAGAAGCTTTTAAAATCATTTATTTTGATATTCTTTTAGTTTCAGATAGCATATCTAGGTGTAGATTTATTTTTTATTTTCATTAGTTTGTTAGGCTTTTGCATCGCAGTGATCAAATACCTGAGAAAAGCAATTTAAAGGTGGGTACCCGTGGCTCACACCTGTAATCCTAGCTATTCAGGAGGCAGAGATCAGGAGGATAGAGATTCAAAGCCAGCCATGGCAAAAAGTTTGTGAGACCCTATCTCGAAAAAAACCCATCACAGAAAAGAGCTGGTGGAGTGGCTCAAGGTATAGGCTACGAGTTCAGACTCTAGTACTGCAAAAAATAAAGAAAGAAAAAGCAATTTAAAGGAGGAAGCATTTATTTTGGCTCACTGTTTCAGAGGCTTCAGTCCATCATGGTGGACAGAGCATGGAGTAGCAGAGCAGATTACATCATGGAGGCCAAGAAGCAGAGCCTCCAACGTGACCCCATGACCTACTTCGTCCAGCTAGGCCCCACTTAAGGCCCCATAATGCCATCATAATGTGAATCCTCAAATTAATCTATTGATTGGGTCAGAGTTCTCATAACCTCATTGTCTCTGGAAATACCCTAACAGACATGCACAGAGGATGCTTTACTAATTTAAGTGCTTTTTAATCCAGTCAAGTTGATAATCAAGATTAACTGTCCCACTTGGTATTTAATGAGTTTCTTAAATCTGTGATTTGATGTCACGTCAGTTTGGAACAGTTTCTGGTCAAATTTTTTTTTTAGTTTTTTCATTTCATTAAATACTTTTACTGACCTATTCTGTACCTTCCATATTTCTCTACTCTTATTAGGTTGGTATTAGGCCTTATTACTTAGCCAAATCTCTCTTTCTCTCTCTTTTTTTAAATGGTACTGGGGGTTGAACTCAGGGCTTCATTCTTGCTAGGCAGGACTGTGATTCTTCTATGTGTGCTTTCCTGTGTAGCTGGGGAGGACAGGTATGTACCACTGCGCCTACTCCTTGGTTGAGGTGGGGGCGGAGGGGGTCCTCCCTAACTTTTTGCCCAGACTGGCTTTGAACTGGAATCATCCCACCCTCCATCTTCCAAGAAGCTAGAATACAGACTTGAGCCTCTGTGCCGGACCTCTTTAATATCTTTCAAACGATATCTTTCTTTATGATTTTTATTTTTTCTTTTATCCTTATGATTTTGATTTCTATATTTCTGCTAGTTCTTTTTTTTTTTTCTTTTTTTCTGCTAGTTCTTGATGCTTTGTTTTCATGTGTATATGAAGTTTCCACTGAGGGGCTCCTTTATCTTTGAACTTTATCTATGCTCATTCTTTGAGGATAAGATAAATTCCTACAGAAGGAATTTTTACCAGCTTCTATCAGACCTTTAGATACTTTCAGTTTAGGATTACAATGTATTGAATTCTCAGATTGAGGGTTTTTGAACCTTTTAGGTAGTAGGTTATGTAATGTTAAGATATAAACCTGTTGAGACTGATTTGTGATTAGTAACTGTGGGGAAGGCTTTTTGTTTCATAATTGAAGCCATAGTTTGAGGCAGGCAGGTTTTGCCTTGCTGTCCTTGGTGGTGGTGGTGATGAAGTATGTCTGCTGTGTCCTTCCTCTAAGGGTATGGTACTTCGGTGGTTGATTTCTGTAACACTTTCCATGTTAGGTGGCTCTGTGCTTTATTTGCAAACCTTCTACTGGAGATCATGAAAATAAATCCTCAGGGTCACTGGCTGAGCAAATGCCCTCAAAGTTTTTGAAAATCAATTGCATTTTGAGTTCCCCTGTGTACTCTTTCATATTTAGTAAAAACATGAAGACAGTTTGATATTTTTAGTTGTTTAGAGAAGGAAAATGAGTAAGGGTACTTCATTAGTCATTCTGTTGGCAAAGTTCAAAACCACTTAACTGCTTGAAGTATTCTGATTACAATATGATCTATAGATACAATATTTACAAATTACTGTCATTTGGCCATTAGATACCAATAATTTATCTCTTTACCACATGCTGCTGAATTCCAGTGAAGAAGATGGATGAATAGATGAGAGGTGTGGAGCGGTAGTACTTCTAAAAGCAAGAAATAAGTAAATACCCTTCTTTCAGATTCTATATTGCTAATGTTCCTTTGTAGCCATGTATTGTAATTCCCTCTGAATTCAGAGTGGAGTACATGGTGAGGAATCCATGGGCTTCCTGTATGGGCAGGCTAGTTTTGATTTCAGAAAATGCCTATGCAGGAGTTAGTTGGTTTTCATTCATACAATTTCCAAGTAGGGGAAATTTCAAGGTTTAACTTTTAATATGCTTTAATATATCAATCTGTTTTGAATTGCAGTCAATGCATGTGATAGAGAATAGCCTAATGCTTAAAGAATAAATAACTGCAGTTATGTAACTCCTCTGGTAGTGTTTAGGAATTAGTATTGGCATTAATTTTGATTTTATTTTAACAATTTGACTAATTTTGAATGTTGGGTATGTAGTTACTGATATGTAGTCAGTTATGGTATTACTAATAAAATGTCAAGGTTTCCTTCTTAGGAGGAACCAAAATTTCAAAAGGAATAAAAATTATAATAATAATTCTGACACCATTGGTGCTGTTAGAAATTTTATTTCTAAACCTATGTATGTGTTTTGAATTAAAGATTTTTTTAAATGATTCTTTAATTAGGTTCAGGACTTCTGGAAACCTTGTAATCACCCGTGAGATTGATGTGGCAAAAAATCAGTCTTTGTGGTTTATCAACAAAAAATCTACAACCCAGAAAGTAGTAGAAGAGCAAGTTTCAGCCTTAAATATTCAAGTGGGCAATCTTTGCCAGTTTCTACCTCAGGTATGAGAGAAATAAAAGTAAAAATGGGAAATTTTTGTATATAGTTTTCCTCTTTATCCCTTTTCAAGGGATATTAATAATAACAGTTACTATTTTACATGGAGCACAGCACTATTAATACTTACAGTTCTTTGTGAAAGGTAGCATCTTATCACTTAAGTTTTTCATTTTAATTAATAAAAAGCCTAAATTATAAAGTGCTTTGAGCGAAATAAAGCTGTATTTTTAAGTACAGAGAGTAAGTAGCTTTGATACTTCATTTGTAGAAACTTAAAGTTTTGTCAATAAGCAGCTTTTTAATCAAAGTATTTGTTGGCATAAAATACCAAAACTTATCGGTGTACCTTATAAAATCTTCCTATATTTTAAATTTGTTTATTAAAAATAAAAATTCTGATATGTTAACTGTCACAGTCAAATGCCTTTTAAATTTGTCTTTGAATACCATTTAGTGATCAAATTAAAGTTCATTTTCTTCAGAAACATGGTGATTTTATTAAATAAGTCCAAGTTAAGTAAAAATTTTAAATTTGAAATCTTTTTGCATTTATCAGCTGATGTCAGACTATCTCCAGAAGTAGATGTTTGAAATTACCTCCTTTAACTTCTAACATTCCAGCAGATGTGTAATAGAGTTACCATTTCAATCTGGGAGAGTTTTTTTTTTTCTTTTATTCCTAAACTATTTATTGAATACATATAAACACTACTACCTGGAAATACTGACATAGAAATTTTGTTATAAAAAAAATGATAGTTTATACCATGTTTTTCTTTGTTAAATAGTATGTAAAAAGATTTACATGAAGATTCACATCTCAACAAATTTTTAATGAGTTCCATTTGACAAGGTGTAATACATTTTAATGGTACTTATAAATGATAATAGTTGCTGATAATTAATTTTTGTGCTCTAGGACAAAGTTGGAGAATTTGCTAAACTAAGCAAAATTGAACTCCTTGAAGCTACTGAGAAGTCAGTTGGTCCTCCAGAAATGTACAGGTATCACTGTGAACTCAAAAACTTCAGGGAGAAAGAAAAACAGCTAGAGGTACTTATAAACAGATAACTCATTTCTGTTGTCTCTTAGTGGTTTCTGTGTCTCAATGTGGAAGAGTGAGTAGTAGTTCTGTTCATTAAGTGAATTTGTATTTGTGACTTTTTTCACTCAGGATTGTGTTGCTGACATCAACAAGTGACAAAAAGTGAGAATGAATTTGATAATGTAAAGTTTGTAAAATGTGACTATTTCAGCAGTTCTTAGAGTTTTTTCTTTTTTTTTTTTTTTCTTGGTAATTGTTACTGAGGTTTTCAAGAATCAGTAACAGTATGTTCTCTCAGGAAATTATATTGTTCTGTTTTTGAGTCAATACCTATTAAACACCTATTATGTAGGCATCATACAAGGTTTTGGGTTATACAGCAGATGTGTTTACGCAATACCTGTGGTGAACCATTCTCTCTGTTTTTTTTTTTCATTTACATGAAGGTAGACTATAAAAGGACTGTACATTTAGTTACAGTACTAAATTTTTTATTTTCATTGAGGTCTATCCTGATGGGGCTTCTGTTTATAGCCACACATCGTTGGAAATGCCTCCTATAGTAATTGTGTGGTTTTACTTTACTCACAGAGCTATTTCTTAGGTCTGTGGGGAGTAACTACAATACATTTACAAAATATGAAAGACTTGCTATGTATGCATATATATATATTGTTTACAGAAAAAATTTATTTTCACCTTTAGTAAATATGTAAATAAAAATGTCCTTTTATAGCATAACCTTTTGTGTTTTATTTAATAAATCTAGTTCCACATCCCTGCATTTAAGATAAATTGGTACATTGTCATAATGAAAAATCTTATAATCAAATGTTTCCTCTTTAGGTATAACTGTCTACACTTAAGAAGTTTTTTATTGTAATGAAATACTAATTTTATTTTGCTTATTCAGAGTGAATGACCAAAGGAGTTGTTTTGAGCTGTTTATAATTATTTCATCCTACTCAGATGCTCCTTCAATTCTTTTAATTTTTTCTGCCTCAGTCTTAATACTTCCCCTGAAACACTCACCTAAATTATCTACCATCCTCAAAAAGAAAACAAGCATATATTCTATTAGGTTCTGAGTACATCTCTGTATTTTTTAACTCTCAATATAAAAGCTTAATTTTAGTTTGTTTCATGTCATTATGAAGGTTAAAGTCATGTGTCCATAACATACTAATCCTAGTATTACTTATTTGTGTATCATTTTTATAGCTTTTGTGGAGCTTTTACCTATACAGATTGAACAACCCTGGTTCAAAATTAGAAATGCTCCTAAATCCAAATTTTTTTGAATATCATGTAGGTGCTCAAAAAATTTCAGATTTTGAAGCATTTTGGATTTTATGTTTTACAGATTATGCTTGTTCAATTGGTAACTTTTATGCAAATGTTCCAAAATGTGATAAAATTTCAAAACCAGGACCACTTCTGGCCCCAAGCATTTCAGATAAGGGTTATGCCACCTGTTTTGCCTGCTCCTACTCCTGAAGAGGATGAGGCAGGTTTCATGCAAGAGATGTGACAGAGCTTCCTTACAGTTACATGACTGATAGATTTTAGAGCCTTGACCAGCACATGTGTATGAGTGTTATTTTACACAGTTCTTAAGAATTACCATGGAATTGTCTTACATAAAATTTTGTTAGCTTTGTTGCGTTGTTAGAAGATTTGACCTTTTGTATTTTTTCAGTTAAACTAATTGTTGGATAAATACTTATTTTAGACCTCATGCAAAGAGAAAACCGAATACCTAGAGAAAATGGTTCAGAGAAACGAACGATACAAACAAGATGTGGACAGGTTCTATGAACGAAAACGACATTTAGATTTAATTGAGATGCTTGAAGCAAAAAGACCGTGGGTGGTAAGTCTTAGTTATTAGAAGTAAAATAGGTGATTCTTTTAAGTAGTAGAGTACTTATTAGCAAGGTAGTAGTGACTTCAATTAGTTGTCTCCTTTTCACTTTATGTCATTTATAATGTAATTCTCATTTCTTAAATAGATGCATGCTAGTTTTTGTACAAGAGTGAGCAGTTAATTCAGTGCTCTTAATTCCAAATTTTAGTCTCTAATGGATAGTTTTTTTCTCTTTTTTTAAATGTTAATAATCTTAAAATGTTTGTATGTGTAAAAAAATTTTAAATCTTTTTTTCCTTCAGTCAGGTCACTAAGATCAAATTCAGCTACAAATGTAGCTGAAGTATCTTAACTGTAATCCACTTATGTTTCATAATTTTTCTGACTGTACTGTATATTCTTTCTATTTACTGAATGATGTATATTTTATTACCTAAGAACACAATTTTGGCTAAAGATTGAACTCCCTCAGTGTATTACTTAATAGGTGGAACAAAAATACATGAGAAAGTTTCACGTTATTTATTACAAGGTCATAGTGGAAATAATTGTCATTAGATTGAAAAATGTGTGACTCTATTGCATTTTTCATCCCTACCCTGTTTTGTGATTCCATTCTTTTTCCTTTTTTCTCCCCTTTTTGATTGCATTTTTCCTGTTTATTATTATTCCTTGACCCTTTTTTTTAACTTGGCAATCTTTCATTTTACCTTATTGCTTTTACATTTACTTACATGTCTATACATTGTGCCTCCTTACCCTGTCCCACCCCATCCCTCTTTCAGACAGAACCTGTTCCACTCTCTTTTTCTCTGATTTTGTTAAGGAGAAAATATAATAGATAGTAAGAAAGACATACTGTTTTTGCTAGTTTGGGATAAAAATAGCTATACAGAGAGATTCCTAGTGTTGGTTCCATGCACTTGTGTATTGCAAACCACATTGGTTCATTTCTACCAGACCTCTTCGCTTACTTCCTGGTTCCCTTCCCATAGTGGCCTCTGCCAATTTTAGATTACTTTATTCTCTCCTTAACAGGGAACATGTAAACCACATTCAAGTTTTAGGTTTCCTCTCCTTTCCCTATTTCTCCCATGCGTGTTCTTCCCTTAGTGTGTGACCCATGTCCAATAATATTACTTCATATAATTTGGGTCTGTAATTCACATTTGAGGGAGAACATGCTGTTTTTGGCCTTCTGAGCCTGACTAAATTCACTTAAGATGATGTTCTCTAGTCCCATCTATTTATTTGTGAATGACAAAATTTCACTCTTCTTTGTGGCTGAGTAAAATTCCATTGTGTATAAATACCACATTTTCTTGATCCATTCGTCAGTTGTGGGGCATCTTGGCTGTTTCCATAGTTTGGCTGTTGTAAATAGTGCTTCAGTAAACACAGTTGTGCAGGTGCTTTTGTAATAACTTCAGTTGCATTCCTTCACGTATGTCCCTAGGAGTGGTATTGCTGGATCACATGGCAGATCTATGTTTAGTTTTTTAAGGAGCCTCCATATTGTTTTCCAAAGTGGTTGTGCTAGCTTACATTCCCACCAGCAGTGTATGAGGTTTCCTTTTACCTTGCATCCTCGCCGGCATTTTTTGTTGTTGGTATTCTTGATGATAGCCATTCTAACAGGGGTGAGATGTAATCTTAGTGTGCCCACTTCTTTTTTGGTTCATTGATTTGTGGGGAGTTTAGTTTTTTGAGCTCCCTGTGTATTCTGGTTACCAGACCTTTGAAATAGCTAACATATATTTTCTCCCACCCTGTGGGTGGTCTCTTCAGTTTAGAGACCATTTCTTTTATTGTACAGAAGCCTTTTAATTTCATGAAGTCCCATTTGTCCATCCTTTATCTTAGTTCCTAGGCTGCTGGAGTTCTACCGAGGAAGTCCTTACCTATACCTATTGTTTCCAAGGTATCCCCTGCTCTTTCATGTACTAACTACAAGGTTTTGAGTCTGATATTAAGGTCCTTAATTCACTTTGAGTTGACAATATACAGGGTGACAGGCATAGATCTAGTTTCAGTTTTCTGCAAGCAGATGGTTTTGGTGCCTTTGGCAGAAATAAGGTGGGCATAGTTGTGTGGATTCATATCTGGATCCTCTATTTGTGTTCCACTGGTCTTCTTACCTGTTTCTGTGCCAGTACCATGCTGTTTTTATTGCTATGACTCTGTAGTATAGTTTGAAGTCAGGTGTTGTGATGATACCTTCAGCATTGCTCTTTTTGCTCAATATTGCCTTGGCTATTCTCCGTCTTTTGTTTCCAAATGAACTTTAGGGTAGATTTTTCAATCTCATTTCAATTTCAATGTCATTGGAATTTTGATGGGAATTGTGTTGAACATTTTGCTTTTGGTAGTATAGCCAATTTTACTATGTTAAGTCTATTAATCCATGAGCATGGGAGATATTTCCATCATCTGTAATGTTCCTCAGTCTCTTTTTTCCAGAGGTTTGTGGTTCTCCTTATAGAGGTCATTTACATCCTTTGTTAAGTTTCCTCCTAGGTATTTGATTTCTTTTGAGGCTATTGTAAATGGAATTGTTTTCCTATATTCTTTCTCAATTTGTTCATTGTTGGTGATTTTTGTAAGTTGATTTTGTATCTTTGCCACCTTGCTATAGCTGTTGATGGTGTCTAGGAGTTTTTTGGGTCTTTGGGGTATAGGATCATGTCGTCTGCAAATAGGAATAGTTTGACCATTTCTTTAACTATTTGTACTCCTTTTATTTCTTCTTCTTGCCTTACTGCTCTGGCTAGGAATTCGAGGATTATGTTGAACAGGAGTTGGGAGAGTAGTGGGCACCCTTGCCTCATTCCTGATTTTAGGGGAAATGGTTTCAGTGTTTCCCATTAAGTATGATGTTGGCTATAGGTTTATAACATATAGCCTTTATAATGATGACGTACATTCCTTCTATTCCTAGTTGTCTTAGAGCTTTTATCATGAAGTGGTGTTGAATCTTGTCAAAGGCTTTTTCTGCATCTATTGAGATGATCAAGTGGTTTTTGTCTTTGCTTCTATTAATGTGCTGTATTATATTTATAGATTTGCTTATGTTGAATCATCTCTGCATCCCCTTGGATGAAGCTGACTTGTTCGTGATGAATGGTCTTTCTGATACGTTGTTGGATTCGGTTTGCCATTGTTTTATTGAGGATTTTTGGATCGATGTTTATTAAGGAGATTGGCCTGTAGTTCTCCTTCTTCGATGTGTCCTATCCGGTTTTGGGAGGAGTATAATACTGGCTTCATAGAATGAGTTGGGCAGTGTTCTTTTCCTTTCTATTTCTTGGAAAAGTTTAAGGAGAGTTGGTATTACTTCTTTGAAGGTCTGATAGAATCCAGCTGAGAATCTGTCAGCTTCTGGACTTTCATTTTTGGGAGACTCTATTGCTATTTCAGTTTCATTACGTGTATAGATCTGTTTAGGTGGTTATTATCCTCTTGGTTCCAATTTTTGATGACCCATCTTATTTTTAATCTTTTAAAATCTTTTAGTTTGTCTTTTTTTTTTTTTTTTTTCCATACTGTGGTTTGAACTCAGGGTCAGGGCTTCACGCTTGCTAGGCAGGCACTCTACCATTTGAGCCATTCCCGCCAGCCTCTTTTTTTTGTTGTTGTTTTTTCATCTCATTCACTTTTTGTATATGCTGTCTTAGTGTTCCACTTGTTTTTACTCAGCAAATACTTGTTAACCCTGTGACATGACAAACATTGTTCTGTTTTTGGTGTTTTGTTTTCCTTTTGTAATTTTTCCCTTATGTAATTGAGTTTCTTTTGCCTCTTTTTTATCCCTGAATTCTTTCCTTATTGAGAGGTTATGGGAAAATCTCACTTGTGTGCCAAAACAGTCTCTTCTTAAGTTTGGTTTCTGCCTGTATCTCACCTTTAGTATACATGTTAATATAAGTGCATTAGCTTCTATTTTTTTCTTTTTTTGACAGTACACTTGCTAGCCAGGTGCTCTACCATTTGAGCCACTCTGCCAGCCCTTTTTTTGTGTTGGGTATTTTTGAGATGCGGTCTTGCAAAGTATTTGCCTTAGCTGGCGTCAAACCATGCTCCTCCTGATCTCTGCCTCTTGACTAGCTAGGATTACAAGCATGAGCCACCAGCACCTGGCTTAACTTCTATTTCTTGAATTACTTGCAAGGAATATGAAAATGTTCGTCAGGAATATGAAGAAGTGAAACTAGTTCGTGACCAAGTGAAGGAAGAGATCAGAAAACTTAAAGACGGGCAGATTCCTATCACACATCGAATTGAGGAAATTGACAGGCAGCGCTATAATTTGGAGACTCGAATCAAAGAAAAGGTACTCTTTTCACTCAGTTTTGAGTTATCTGAATTTTATTTTAGCAAGTGCAAAAATGCTTAGCAAGTCTTTCAAAATACTTTTTAGGGTTCACTTATGTCTTTTATTCCTTTAGTTCTTTAACTACAAATTACTGTAGGGCTTTCGAGAACTTCAGTGTTACTCTTGGAGAATTGCTACTTTTTAGAAGATAAAAGGAAATGTGATTGTTTTAATTACAAAATGATACAAAATGCTATTCCTAGAAACATTGAGCTCCTTTTGTGAATTTATTATGTATTTGTTTAATAATTACCCTTTTGGAGTAGGATGATATTTAAAAAATCTGGTATTAGAATAAATAATGTATTCATTTCTTATACTTCAAAAATATAATTTAAAATTATTTATGGTCATAACTTTTAACCTTTTGGGGATTTGGAAGTTAGAGATTATTTTGAGAAATGGTATAAATTCCCGTTTGTAGAATATAGCAGTTTCTCCTTATCTGAGGGGCATACGTTCCAAGACTCTCCAGTGGATATCTGAAGCCATAGGTTGCACTGAATCCTATACAGTTTGAATATTCCTTATGTGAAGTGCTTAGGACCAGAAGTGTTTCAATTTTTGGAGTTTTGAATATTTGTATAGATATTACCAATTGATTTCCCTAATCCAAAAAATTAAAATTCTGAAACTTAATAATCATTTCTGTGCTCAAAAAGTTTCAGAATTTGCAACATTTTAAATTATAAATTTTTAGATTAGGGATGCTCAACCTGTATGTGTTAGGCTTTTTCCTATACATATATAACTGTGATAAGCTATTGCCTTTACTCTGAAAGCAAGCACTTCATATTTTTCTTTGGCGTATCTGTTGCCTTCATGACCACTCTTTGGCTTTGGGGCCGTTAGTAAGTAAAATAAGGATTATTTTAATAGAAACACTGCAATACCTCATCAGTCAGTCTAATAACTGAGATGACTGCTTAGGAACTAGTAAGTAGGTAGCTTATACAGTGTGGATATGTTGCACGTAGGGATGGTTCATGTTGGGCATGACAGCTTGATATTTTACAGTGCTACTTAGAATAGCATGCAGTTAAAGCCTGTTTATAAATTGTTTATTTCTTGAGTGTTCCATTAACTACTTTTGGATTACAGTTGAGCATAGAAGGTAAAGGCATAGGTAAGGGGGGATTACTGTTATACAATATAAACACGCATTAGATTTTAGAGATTTGTAGATGCAATGAAGTCAAATGATTGACTCTACTTAAGAGCCTCTAGTGTAAATTGGTTAGTTAACTCAGAATAAGTAGAGGGCTTTCTAAGTAGACCAATGGGATTTATGTTTTGTGAAAGTTAGTTTTATGAAACCAGAAAAACATTTTCAATGTGTTTGTGCATTATATTCCTGTTGTTCGTCACTGGACTTTGCAAATGGTTATCAATTGATCATAAAGGGAGAATTTCAACTTCATGGTGCTCTTGGGAAAAAATAGCATAAAACATAATTTCCATTATTGAAAGAATATTTAATAGAAAGTGTATTATAAACTTTGTAGTATTTTCTTTATAGCCATGTTTATTTAAAAATTTACATTTTATCCTCATGTGAACATGCTATACTATATTCTTTGTTACTAATTTTAAGACTACTAATTGGTAAAGGACCATTCAATATACAGGTTTGATTAATGTAAGTGTTATCTTTGATTGGAAAAAAAAAACCCAGTTATTTGGAACTCTTTCATCTAGAGATACGATTGTGCCTTTTTTTCTTTCTAGGGAGCCTGTAAGAAAAGTGATTTCTTGAGTGAGATAGTACCACATAAGTACTAAACTATGCATGTGGAGCATGCTGAACAAGAAGGGCAATGTCTAGGAATGTAAAGTCTAGCAGGGAAGGAGTGACTAGTTTGACTTTGCTACTACCATGCCAGTAAACCTCCACTACATCTTAATTCTACAGTGGGTTAAAGTAGGTTTAGAAGAGTTAGGTTCAAATCTTGAAAATGAGTTATTAAGAACAGATAAGGATTTTAGGACTTTCTTGAACCTAATTTTAAAAGAGAATTTCTGTTGATCATTTAAAATTTTAGAGCAAGAAGAGACTGTAGACAAGTCTCTTCACTTTATCTTTAAAGATAGTAAATCCCAGCAATAACATGACTTCTTAAAGGCTAAAGAGTGAATATTTGACAGTTCTCATGTTAATGGTGGTTGGTTATAGATAAATTGTGGGTTATAGTTGCTTTTTTATTCCTGAACTTTGTTACTCCCACTTTCTTTACTTTTTTCTATAGTGGGAAAATGTCTACAGTAAATTCTTAATCATATATTACCCCTTGTTTTCTTGTCAGTTCTTAGTAGATGTCTATCTTTTAAGACATCCTCAAACGCCTATGAGCCTAATTTGTTTATGTGGAAAATCTCCATGGCATAAGATATTTTAGAATTGCTTTTCTAAAGAAATGCTCCTGGACTGTGATAAAATGTGAATGTGTGTGTGTGCGTGTACGTTTTTTAAGTTATTAGTGCTCATAGCCATGCAAAAGGAATAAAATTGTTAATTTTATTTCACATTCATCCTACTCTTGTTCCTTACCTTCTTTTCCAGCAGAAAACACTTGTGATTTTCCAGTACTTGTGATTGTTTTTTAACAATCCAGGGAGGCAATGCAAGTTATGAACTAGGCACAGGCTTTGTATTTACTCATATCTGTATTTTGCATACCCACTCTGTCACTTAATAACTGCCTAATGTTATTCTTAATGTGTAGAAAAACAGGGTTGTTCAGGATCAGATAAAATAACACAGGAAAATAAATACTGAGATAAACATGCTGTATATTACTATAGCTATTTTTAATATCAGTAGGAATAAGCTTTTATACATTTTTGTACCAGTGCTATTTTTTGCTGACAGTTTTGAAATAACTGTCACTGCTTGGAAAAGCAGTGTTGTTGTTCTAATTCACAGAATATTTGGATGGATGAGACCATATAATTGACTTACATAGTTTTTAACTAACTTTCCCCTTCTCTGATTCAATCTTACAGGCAACAGATATTAAGGAGACATCCCAAAAATGCAAGCAAAAGCAAGATCTTATAGAAAGGAAGGATAAACATGTAAGATTTCTTACCGAAATTTTTATTTCTCTAATTTATGCTAACTTTTGTTTTAAGGTCTGAGCGGTATTTGAGAATTGTGCAGGATCCTTCTTATTCTTTATTTGTATGTCACTGTGAGGAAAACTCAGGTTTGAAATTGTAGTAATTGCATAGAAGGTAATTGGGGAAATTTTCTCAAAGTTACTCATGTATAGTTTGTGTATATTTAGTTTAAAATTTCATGATTTTCTTTTTTTATGATGTATTTTAAAATGATTTGCAAATAGTTACTTATTTTTTTTCTGTTTTTAATTTTCATTTTAATACTCAGTTAAGGTTACTTAGAAGTTCTTACTGTTTTTTTTTTATAGATACAGATTTGTTTGTTTTGTTTTCTCTTTGGATTGCTGGAGATTGAACACAGGGCCTCACACATTCTAGGTACATAGTTAACTTCTGAGCTGCACTTCCAGCCCCTCAGATAGGGAATTTTAAGCTGCCTTTTTTTCCTTTTTTAATCCTTATAAAAGTTATAGCTATACTGCTTTATGGTCAATAGTTATAGCTGTATTATTTTAGGATTTTGTGAGACATCTTTTGGTCTTCTATTGTATATTTGATTTTTTTCTACATATATTTGAAAAGAATATACATTATCTTTTGGTATGTGTGTATATACATACATGTATATGTTAGAGCAAGCTTACTATATATTAAGTGTCCTATATTTTTTTTTTACCAAATTGATATGTTGTTCATTTTTCAAGTGTCAATAGCTCTTTCTATGAGTATAGATTTTTCAGTTTTTCCTTATAATTTTGTTAGGTTTTGCTATCTAGATTTTAAAAGTTTTGTTGTTACTATTTGTTTTACAGTACTAGGGACTGAACCCAGAGCTTGCATGTACTAGTCAAGCACTCTACCACTAAGTTACATCCCTGTCTTGCTTTTAAATTTTATTTTGAGGATCTCTAAGTTGTCCAGGCTGGCCTCAAACTTACCATCCTTTTGCCGCAGTCTCCCAAGTAGCTGGATCACAGGCATGTGCCCCATGCCCAGCCTAAAGCTTTGTTTTTTGTTATGTCTGCATAATGTTTTGATTTCTTTTTTCTGCTATGAATAATATACACTGGCTTTTGAATTTTCATTAACTGTTAACATTAACTATTATGTTTTATACTTAGGTCTTTGTTTGGTTCCTTTTAATTCCCTTCCTGCTTTCTGTTGCTGTTGCTGTTGATCAAGTTTTTCTTATTCCATTTTTTAATTTATAGACTGGAAGTTCCATATTCTGGGCCTGTTCTAATAATTACTTATAAAGTTTAAATGACATTTATCTAAGAAAAAAGTTAAAATTAGTATTTTTAGTCTTCCAACTTAAGATAAAAATCTAGTATACTGTTATTTCTTTTTCCATATCAGTATTTGAATTGTTACTTAATTTTTTTTAATGTTTGTATTTTTTGAATTTTATATGTTTTAGTGATTTATTTGATCAGATTGCTTGTTATACCTCTTCTAGCTTCTTTTTTTGGGGGAAGTAGAAATTTTTTTGTTTTTTCTACTGTTTGGGGGTGAACTTTCTGAGTCCTTGTATGTCTCTATAATGTTAATATGGCTAGATAGTTAATTCTAAGATACAAATTGTTTTTTCTTAACATTTAAACAATCTTGCCTCAATCTTGGGTCCAGTATTGTTCCTGATAAGTAACACAGATGAAAAATGGACAGAGACCATATGAGATAAAGAAGCAGTGTAGGGGAAAAATAAAAAGGAAATTGAATTTGATTGTTTATGAGAAACCATTAAAAGACTGAAAGTCTTTAAGCCAAGGAGAAAAAAGATTTCATTTTTTCTTGTAAGGTGCTTTGGACTACCTTATTAGGAAAATAGACTAATGGGGCAAGAATGAAAGCATAGAAGTCAGGAGGCTATTATAGTAGTCCAGGTAAGAGGAAATGGTGGCTTAAACTGGAGTGCTAACAGTTAATTAGTAATTTTAGTGAATTGAACCAACAAAATTTGCAAAGGGAGTAACTTAAGGATTGAATTAGGGAAGAACCAGGTATCACATCTAACTTTTTGACTTAACAGTTGATGAGTAGTGATACCTTTTTCCGGATTACTAAGAAAAGGATAATAATTATTTTTTAGCACATAAGGTTCTGTCTTTGTACTTTAAACCTGTGTCTGTGAATCTAAAATGTGTCGAGTAAATAGTAGACAGTTGGATCATGTTTTTTAATCCACTTAGTCTCTGGTTTTTAGTTTGAGTATTTAATTCAATTACATTTAATTACTGGTAAGGTAGGATTTATATGTACCATTTTGCTAATTTGTGTTCTCTATGTCATACAACTTTTTTGTTCCTCTTTTCTTCCGTTTTTCCCTTATTTTAAGTTGATAGATGTTTTCTGTTATATTTTTAATTAATTTATTTATTTAGAGATAGGATTTCACTGTGTAATCCAGGCTGACTTCAGACTTGGCGATCCTTCTGCTTCAGCCTCCTAAGTGCTAGGATTGCAGGCATGCCCCACCATGCCCAGCTAAGTGTTTAATTTTTCTTTTGTGGTGCTGGAGGTTCAGTCTATGGCCTTACTGGGTTGTTTCTCTTACTGAATTTCTTCTTTTTTCTTATTATATTTCTTGAGCTGACTTATGGCTTGCTTGGGATTCAAATTGATGAATTCAGTATTAATTTATATTAATCTAGTTCAGTTTAATATCAACAATATATAAAACTTTGCTCCTAATACAGTTCCATTCCCTTCTCCCTACAAATTATATTTTTAATCATCGTGAAGCCTGTCAATAAAATGTTATGGTTATTTATACAATTTGTTTGTTTCCAACACTGCTCTAATTCTCTGACACCAACCTGGTGTCCTGTAGTTGAATTTGGTTCATTTGGAAAAGGCCCAAGAAGTTAAGGGCTCAGTCCTGCAAGACTGCCCTCACTTCATGTGCCAGCTACAGTCCCTGGGTCTTCAGTCCTACCACAATTCTTTTCAAGTTGTTTGCAACTTCTTGGGTTCCAACAACCCCTGCTAAAGATTGAATTTGCTAGATCCACTCACAGAAGTTAGGCAAGCACTGCTTAACAAGGACTAGTTTATCAAAAAGGATATGACTCAGAAAAAGCCAAATGGAATTGATGCATAGGAAAATGTGTAGAGTAGGATGGAATGTTGCAGTTTCCATTCCCTTTGTGGGCACATCATCTTCCTAGCATTTACAACTCACAAGTTCTTCAAACCTTTGTTGCTTAGCAAATTTTATCATAGTTTCATGATTGACTAAATCATTAGCCATTGGTGACTGCACTCAGTTTCCAGCTTCTTTCCCTGCTTGAGGTTAGCCAGTAGGACTGAATGTCCTAACCCTCTACTCACATTGCTTCCTCTGGCAACCAGACCCCATCCTGAAACCTAGCTAGAGACCCTGGCAAGAGTTACCTCATTAACACGAATCAGTTACTATGGAAAGGGACAAATTCTGAGTGATATAGGAGAAAGTAGAATTACAAGTAAGAATATATTTATGCTCTTTATATCATCTATATAATTATTAGTGCTTTTGATTTCTTTGTGTAGATTACTGTCAGGTTATTGTCTAGTGTCCTTCCATTTTAGACTGAAAGATTCCTTCGCTTTATTGTTTCACATAGGGCAGACCTACTAGTAACTAGTTCTCTCTGTCTTACCTGGGAATATCTTAAATTCTCTGATTTTGAAGGATACTTTTGCTAGACATAGAATTCTTGGTTATGTTGTAGCACTTTGAATGTGATATCCCACTGCCTTCTGGCCTCCATTGTTTCTCTGACTTTTGTTTTTTTCTCTCTCTCTTTTTTTTTTTTGGCAACACTGGAGCTTGAACTCCTCTCCTCACTCTTGCTAGGCAAGTACTCCACCACTTGAGCCACTCCACCAACCCTCCTTCATGGCTTCTGATGAGGAGTCAGTTATTAATCTTATAGAGGATCTTGCGTATGAGTCACTTTTTTTTCGTATTTTCAAAGTTTTCTCTTTGTCTTTGGTTTTCATTACTTAACTGATATTTCTAGATGAGAATCTCCTTGAGTTTATCCTGCTTGAAATTCATGAGTTTCTTAGTTGTGCAGGTTCATGTTTTTCATCAAAGTTGGGAAGTTTGGGGACATTATTTCTTCCAATATTCTTTCTACCCCTTTCTTTTCTCTCTTTCTAACACTGGTATTTTGCATATTTTGAAATGCTTGATGATGATGTCACATGGATCTGAGATTTTTTTTGTGTGTTTTTTCTTTCTGTTCCTCAGACTAGATAATCTCAGTTGACTTGTTTTGTACTTGTTCTATCTAGAGTTAAGCCTCTCTAGAGAGTCTTTCATTTCACTTTCTGTACTTTTCAATTCCAGAATTTCCAGTTGGCTTTCCTTGTTTAATAATTTCTATTCCTTTATTTTTAAATTATTTTTTATCTTTCAACAAATAGTTTATTGGTGTAATGAATGACAAAATACTAGTACCTTTATTCTAGACTTTATGGTCACCCAATAGACTGCATCTTTGGAATGGGGGAGGTATTGTTTTCCCATAATCGTGAAGCTGTCATACTCAATCTAGGTTCATCTGTTGCAACTTAATCTATGTACATGTAGGGTGTCCCCTTTACTATCATCTGCTTGAGTCACTCACAGAAGAAAAATACTCTTGCCAACAATCTGTAGCAGTATGTTCAAAATTCATTTTGTCTTGAATAAAAATCTGAACTATTCCATTTGTTCAGTAATTCCATATGGTCTTATTACTACTTCTAAACATAAGGTAAGATCCTTTAGCATTTCCATTAGTATTTCCCATGTTTCTAGATGATTCTCAAAGATTTTGAGAGATTCAAAGAGAGCCCCTAAGAGACCAGCTGTTTAAAGTAAGATTCTCTGCATGGCTCAGTTCCTGATATATGAAGAGATTCAGTAGCTCTGAGTTCACACAAAGAGGAATTTGAGAGGGATAAATGTAGTAACTATCTGT